GTTTTGGAAGGGAAATTTATGAGCCCAAGCTCAGGATTTTTGAAATCAATTATGGAAATAGTGAGACAGCAGTCCAAAATCATGTAGGAAACATGGTTAATGAGCTTGTGAGTCCCTTAAATGGAGTCATTCGCTAGATACAGGGATTCTATATTAGTTAAACCTAATATTGAACAGCGAATAATAAATAGCTTTAGAACAGGATGGAAGATGCCATTAATGACGCGACAGTTGATCAAGGCCCGCCTTCTGAGCCGGGTAACCAAGGACTACTTGGTTCAGAAGGTGGTCAGAAGACAGTGCACTGGAATGAACCACTCGCTACCACAGCCAACATAACAGGCCACGACTTGTCAGCCGAGAGTATTTTGCGGTCGGGCTTTAGAGAAACAAGCGACGATATGGTAGGTGTTTTCACTGCATTCTTCCTTTTTCTTCTTATCGCGATTTTCTAAAGCACCTTTCAAACTTGTTCGTGAAGGTCCATGCGTTTTTACTAGCTGAGCCCATTATTCTAGCGTGCTGCCCAAACGGAAGAAAATGAGGTTGGGAAAGCAACTCTCTACCGGAATAGCGCAGGTGACTTCGTGGTACATACGTTGACGGCTTGTGGATGCAGCCTTTATGAATATAGTAACAAAGACGTACGTTGGGTACATTCCAGTGGCCGATATCAAGTATATTTATTGATATTGATTCCTTTTCTATGGTTTTCAGAGCTCGGCCTCCTGTGTTATTTTCATCAAATAAACAACCTTTGATCGAGTTATTCTTTGATCTTGTTTCTAAAACTCGGATTGCTGTTGAAATTCAAGGCGTTTTTTTTTTTTTTTTTTTTGGTTGTTGAATGTGAACTTTCTTCAGTAGCACGTGATTATTCCTCGGCAAATTAGTTTTTCTAGTGTTGAATATCTGTTTTAAAAATCACCCGAAAACATCTTTTCAACATTTTGAGATATTAGTTTTGCTAAAGAAATTTCCTTCCATCACATTTTTTAGAGCGAAAAAGAGCAAACCGTAATTCCATTTACTTTTATCTCATTTAGATTTATTATTATGGCAGATCGGGTGCTACAACGATCGAGGTTGCTGATGGTGTTGCACTAATTCGGTGTTTCCTTAATGGTCAACTAGAAATCTATAGGAAGAATGGTGATATTTCCTTGGTCACTCCAAGCAAAAAAAGGATTGAAACATTTCGGACAGGTGGCGCAAGTGGGTCGAGAAGTGGTGAATTTCGAACTGAGATGTAATAATTGTTTATGATAAGTGCTATTTGCTTGGGGCATCTGTTGGACAGGCCTATTTACAGCGGCCGTAGTTAGTAATTTTCTGTTTTTATGAATGGATATAGAAAGAAAAGGGATTCTCTGGGGGTCGATGGCTTTTTTGACCAATTGTCTCTTTGATTTCTATTTCGAAATGTGGAAAGTAGTAAGAAACTTTTGACTCGCTTCACTTCTGCAGAGTATCTCGAAACATTTGTCTTGACAAGTGGATCTTTTCTTTCCAATATTTTAACGCAGAACTTTTATCTTTCCGCTGTAGTTGAACACTATCTTCCTCATATCCTATGTGAAAGGATTAAAAAGGACAGGGAGAGTGAAAAACGGTGTGATGGAGCATTCTCAATGAAATATGCACCTACTTTCAGATATGAAGGTAATCGAATGCGTGTCATTTACGATGATGGCCAAGAAACTCAAGAAGTATCAGAGCTCGCTTCTTGCTTCAGAGATGACGGGTCTTATGTGCAGTACGTTCCCAATGAAGAGTCCTTGGAGTTCAGGGCGGACAACTACGTGGTAAGTCAGTGGTCCTGAATAGCCAATCTGCTTATATTTCTTTATTCTTTCGCGTTCCCTCAAATATTTGGGTTATTTTGGATTCATCGTAAACTGCCTAATTGCTTAAATTATGAAACTGGTTCCCCAATTTCCATTTTAGGATTTTGTTTCTAGGTGCGACGCTGCGATGATGGGAACGTAAAAGTACGTTTAAGTGATTTGAACCTTAGCATCTCAGTTTTGACAATAGATGTGGGTACAGTGAAGCACTTGACTACCTCGCCAGGGTGTACTCGGAAGTACTGTGTAGAGTGGGGAAGAGTCGCTCGCCAAAGATCTCGCCGTTTCTGCTCTGTAGCGCGTCAATACGACTTCGTCGACATATAGCGTGTAATTGGATGATGTAAAGAAACAAGTGGTGCTTTAGCTTCCCACCATATGACCACCAAGGGGGGGAGTAAAGAACTGGATCTGAATTGAGATTCGATGAATACATAAGACCAGATCACTTGGCCTCCTAACCGAATTGCTCACTGATTTTTACTGTTTGACTGAATCCTTGTCTCCGCCAAGTTTAACTTCACCAAGTCAAAACGGGGGAGCCTTCACCGTGCAAAAAAGTTCAGATGTACAATACTGTGTCACTGCCGAATCCAACCCTCCAAACGAGAACCTTGTAATAATAAAGCATTTCGCTCTTCTGGCTCGTTTGTACATGCGTGATTTGCGTGCTGCGAAACAGACGGAGAATCTTATTTACTTCACGAGTGCAACGCGCGAAATCATAACACACACTGTAATTCACAAATAGAAGCTACGCATTTACAACAGTTCTTATTATTAAATTCTTCCTGTCTTAGAAGCTGCCTGCGGAAAAGCCACGCTATCATGTTATGATTTACAGTAAACTAGTAATCTTGGAGTGGGCCGCCGTGTCTTTCACCGAGACCCGCCTTCCCTGAGCGAGAACTTGTCGCATACCACAGCAACGCATATACATACGATAACAGTTACAACATGCTGGCAGGACAGATATGACATTCGTCCTACAGGAATGCTGTATTATGCATAAAAAGTGCCACAAGTTACTTTACGATTACAACAACGGATCACAACATTTCTGAGTAAATCAAGGATCATCCTAATAATCTGCAATTCCTATAGTGCGGGAAGGAACTAGATGCACTGACAACGCGTCATAACAAGGGGGCGAGACAACCTTGCGGGGCTGGCCGTCGCTATTGTTATGCAGCCGCCACCATCAGCGATTTTTGAAAAATCGGTAAACGAAATAACCTCCTAACGCTAGGGCAGCTACTCCAACAGTGACGAAAAGGCCCTCCGTGAGCAGTGAAGGACTAAAAAGTGACTGTAGAACTTACTGTTTAAATTCATTAGAACCACCGAGAAGTGATTCACAACCATTTGGCGCACAAAAGAAGTTTGCTTTCAAGGAGTAAAGATCACACAGAACCAGATGGGAAATCAAAAGTACTAACCTCGACGGGTCAAGGATGCTGAATGGTCTCCTTGGAGTTCTAGGGACATCATCAAATAGAAGAGATGAGCTTAAAGAACAATCTAAAGGAGATTTCGAAAATTCATCATCTGTTTCCTCGCCGCATTCCGATAAACTGCTTTTGCTGTCGTTGTCCGCTCTATCATTTCCGAAGTCCGATACGGAATCTGCAGATAAGTGACTGGGCGTATGAAGAAAAAGAATTTTGGTTATGTACGGTTGAGACCTTCAACACTTCCCAATCTATGGATAAGCTGGTTATAAAATATGACAACAGAAGCATTAGTCCCAAAGCATAAAATCGAAGTCATTCCGTTAAAGAAACCTCATTCCTGTCATAGCGCCGGAGTTCCTCTAACCAACAAGGCCTACTGCTTTGAAAAAATTGCAAAGATAATAAAAGACAAGTGTGATTTAAGTGACATTTCAATGAAAACCGGGAACGAAATCTAATGGCCTATTAGGGTGAAGACATTAACCCAATTCAAGAGCTTGAAAAATGAGAGTCAAACAACATATCTTTATCACGACAAAGTCTCTTCAAAGACTACAGGCAAAAAAAAAAAATGAAACTCACTTTCCCCATCCCTGAAGCGATCCTCTTCAGAAATATGGGAGTACGATTTCACCTGAACTGATCGTGTTTCCTTATCGAAAGAGGTGTTTGAATAGCATATGCGTGGGGCTGTATACCTGTATTCCGCTGCTGAAACTTGGTAACAATGATCCAACTTTTTGCTCGACTCCGTAAAGCGGCAAATAAAATGAAAAAGCTGAGGAATTTTTGAGTAAAGATAATCGTTCAATTTAAAGAAGATGGAGAAATACTCTAGAAGCGACGAGCCTGTTCATACAAGCTCAATTGCAAAAGAAAAAAATATAACAGCTGATTTCACGGCAATGAAACGATACTGAAAAAAACAATGAAAAAAAAATTTACTGACCTCTCTGTATTCCAGCTGTGGCCATAAAAGTCTTATAGAGAAATAGAATAATTCGGACCTGATTTCGGAAACTGCCCACAAAAAAATGCTCCCGTTTTTTTACGGTTTATCCAAAGCCCATTCGATGTTGCAGTGATTAAAACCTGCAATTATGAACAATCCACCATATATATACATGATGACAAAAGTCATTTGCAAATACGATAAGACAGTTTCGCAACAGTAAATTAAAAAAATCTTTACTAGCTGCAAAATTAACTGGTATACCAAGTTAATATCCTCCAGTATACATACATATAGGGCAGCAATACTTGTTGCATACAATTACAATAAAAATTTTTCATTGTCCCATGATCATAGCAATAAGAACTAAAATAAAAGTAGCAAAGATACAGTGTGAAATAAAATGGAGTAAAACAGACACGGAAAACAACTGAACTAAAAGTTATTCCAAGCAACATGTAAACTGCACAAAAACTAAAAAGAAGGAGCAACAACAACAACTAACCCGCTCAGTTTCCTGTTTTTCACCAAATCTGCGCTTTCTCAGCTCCATTTCCAATCCTTTGTTTGTATGTAACCAAAAAATTTCGCGCCACAAATAACACTTGGTTTTTTGGCAACTTTCCAAAAACGCGAAAATTTGTTTTTGTTTTTGCAAAATAATAATGAATTTTGCAATTGTCAATTTATATGATACGTTGTTGTTGTTTATTTCACTGTCTTTATACCTTGTACGTGGAAACTAGTTTTAAATTCATACTTAATGTACTACACTGTGTCCAACCGTCTGAACGTTTCCCCGCAAAGAAAACTGGGCCCATCTGTGGTGGAAATTTGTCTTTCGTAAACTACACTTTTCTTGGAAATTCATTGGTTTTTTTTTTTGCGTCAAGTTTGCTATCAGTTGTTGATGCAGCTTATTTGCCAACAAGTTGTCACTTCTGAGAGAGTAAAATTACCGTCATTGAAAAATAATTCTGGGTGAATTGGAGCTGAAAATCAACTAACCATCATTTGGATTGCTATACCCACTCTGAAATCTTGTAAAATCAGCCTTCATAGCTAAGATCACCTGTGACCTTTCTGCAATTTATACTCACCAGTCTTTATTAGAGTTGCGAGAAACTTGCTACATTTAACCTCCGTGTCTAACATGTCAAAAGAGAGACAAAAGAGAGAGTGTCAAAAGAGAGAGAAGTTTATGTTTATTAGAGCAAAAGTTTCTTTCATTTTTCCCTGTGCTGAAAGTGCTTGGAGTATTTTCGTTAATTTTTTTCTAGATGAACTGTTAAAAGTCTGCTTAGTTTTCGTCAGTGAACAAGTTGAACGTAAACACGACAGAAAAGGGAGATGAAAAGTTAGGTTGGAGCGGGTGGTGGGATTTCAAAAATAAGTCAAAAGTCCAATTGAACTACTTAGCGCTCTAAGAAATGAACACTCAAGAACTTTTACAAACTAAAGCTGCTCACCGCTAACTACGTGAGCGAAACAGTTAAAGTATTTGAGGCGCCAAGAAATATTAGTTCATAAAATGAAGCCATGTTTTGCAGAATTATAATACCCGTTTTATGAACCTTAGGTCCATTGGGTAGGGTATTGTAACTGTGCAAAACCCACGAGAATATAAGACGAGAAAAACTCTAATGATGATTTTTAAGGTTCTTTTTCTGTTTCTACCTGCTTTCAGGCGCTCCGATGGCTGTTGGAGGGATATCTCATTTGGTTTGCGAAGAGCAGCCGCCATAGTTTTACAACAGATAGTTCAGACATCTTGCTTATGCAGTCTTGACTCTAAAAGGCATAAAAAAAGTGTTACAGGGAGAACACGACTTTTTGCGATTTCCCCTGCAGAATTTGGTCTACTTTCATCTGCTGAGCAGGAGTTAGTTAGTTCAAACTATCCCCGCAATTCTCGCTGACACGGATTCATTCATTGATGTGACGATTTATTGCTCCAATTGGGCACTTTTTTGTTGCTAACTTTTTCTTGATGTCATAGTGCGCGAAAACTGTTGAATAATAATCCAATTAATTACTGTCTTCTTTATCAATCATCTCTTAGTGTAGCAGAAACGGAATTAGGGGATTATCGCTAACTCCATAGTTTGAAAAATTGATAGGTCACTGAAAATAGGTACAGTTCACAAATTGCAAATGTTAAAATGCAGAACAAATTGTTGCAGCGAGGCATTTTTTGCTGTTAGAAATGACACGTCATAAAAGCCAAACTATAAAGTAGAATTCTTATAACTATATAACTAAATTTGGCCCTTTTACAATTTATCATAAATGTGAAAAAACTTATCATTTTTCAGATTTTTTTAGGAAGTTTGGCATTCTCGTCTACCCGTCGCTTCTTCCTTAAAATTTTTACATTTTTGCGTTCACATAGCACCATGCGCTGCCAAAACAGTTTTTTTCTGTTCCGCTATTTTATAAAAATTTGTTTTTTTTCCAACAAAATTCCAGCTTTCCATCGGTACAGATCTTTCTTTCCACTCCAGCAGCCGATAATATTTGATGAATTGTTTCCTTTGTTACGACTTAAAAAATTTATATTCTTTTTTATGCCTCTCACGAGTTTCTCTGTGCAGTTATTAATTTTTTCGGTTGCTAAAACGTAGACTTTACAGTTTCGATCTTTGCACATTATACATTAAGTCTTATAGTTCAGTTCAACGGCAAAAGTAATAAGATAGCTGGGTTTTTAAGGAACACATTAGAACAGCTTTTAAACGTAAAAACAAATAGTACATAAATCTTTCGGGAAGAAAATTGTTGTATGCAACACGAAGAAACACGGTGCTAATAAGAAAAAAATTAAATCTTCAGAAAAGCAAGAAGTCCTGAAGCACTCATCTTTTTAAGCTAACATTTCTTTGGAGCATCTTCAGAAGAGGAATGAGAACAGTCGGTGGTGAATGCGGAAGGGCCAAATATAGAAAAAAAAAAAAAAAAAAAAAAAAAAAAAAAAAA